TTTCTTCAGACTATCATAGAATAATAGTATAAATTAAAAAACCAAATTAATCAAAAAGACCGACATAAAAGTCTTTGAATATATATTTATCCCTATAATAATGGATGAATAAGAAACAAAAGCCTTATGTAATTTATTTATAAAAATTATGATGAACTTCAATAATATTTTATTCTTTGAATTCATATAAAAGTTTATTATTATAGAATGATTAACAAGCATGTTACATAATAATCTAATATATATTTCAAATGAGACCTTTGGTATAGGTTTCAATCCACTGTTGAGTAATTATCATTTGGTCAAAAGATAAAAACATTAGATATACAAAGAAATGATTAAAGGTATATAGATCTTTAAATCCAAAACGAAATATATGTTTTAGAATGGATATATGAAAACTATATATTTATGATCCACTAAAAAAAATAAGATTTAATTTTAAAGTGTAGTTCATCATCAGGGCTCCTTTTTAGCTGCCTTCAAGTTTGATATATACTTTATTATTATTGAAGATCAATAGGGGAGTAAAAGATTAAAAAACCAACAAGTAAAGTCTTCAGTAAAATGTCCTTCAGATAAGTAGTTTAATATAGTAAAGTAATCCAAAATCTTTACATATGCTGATGATGTAGCTATAGTTACTTTTAAAAATGAGCTTCCTGAATTATAGAGAAATTATATATTGAGCTAGTTAAAGAATACAATTTTAAGGTCAAATTATAAATCTAATTATATAAAAAAAATTAAGATAAGATAAATAAAAGCTACAACTTTTTCGAATTTTAATGATAAGGAGAAATTTTTATGAGAATTAAAAATGCTTATTTTGATATAGACTATATATGTGAAATATTCAATTAATTTCAGTCTTACCACTTAAACTATTATGAATACATTTTTTGAAACCAAAATACTTTTATTTTGAGTTAGGTAGTCAAAATATAAGCCATATGATAAGAATAGCTGCTCTACTTTGATTTATACCTGATGATCACCTTTAAGTTTTTATTGTTGGCAATCTAGATAATGAAATTATAGATATTTGTGAAAGTATAAATTTTCTTATTAAACTGGCCCTTATAAATCTTATAGCAGGTTTAGAGATTAATTATTATTTACGTCAAAATTCATCTAAATGATAAAAATTAATGATAACCTTATGTTTTATTTAATATTCAATATTAATGAATGATTATAATTCAATAAAAATGAAACGAAATCATAAAGCTTAACTATATATGCATAAGGATTAAAACAGCCTTCTTCGCTTGAACAAACCTATTTTTTTACTTTAGTTCCAAAAATGCAGTTTGATTATTAAAGAAAGAACATACTCTAAACAAATTTCTTTTTATTTTGATATAAAATATGTTTTCATTGAACATTATGAATAATATGATACTACAAAAATACAATTATTTTAGAATTTATTACATTATTAATCATAAGTACCTATAATTTATTTCAAATCATGGCAATACTCTTCTACACTTCAAGAAAGAGTTGCTTGTTATGGTTCCATAGAAACAAGAAGATCTCATACTAACTTTACAATTATCATAGCATTATTCATTAGTAGCTAAATCATTGAAACAATATTTAGAATTATTATAATTGGGACTCCCTCTACAAGAAGAATAAAATTTAGAAGCTTCAAGAAATTTAATTACCTGTACCATGGGTATTATTAAACCAATTGCCACCTACACCGTGGTATTGAGTAGTTAATTGATAGTTTTCAGGAAGTCATCATGTATTTCAAAGATGAATAAAACCATTTCTTAAATCAAAAACTTATTTATTAAAGAGAGGTCACCTTAGGCTCTAGCGAATCCATTAACAAGTTCTCGACTTAATTTTTATAGAAAGAGAGTATGAATTAAGATGGCATTAACAAAGGCCAGCCCCCAAAAAGTATCTATTATGATTTTTATGCTTATATTTCATATTATTATTTAAGTAGCATCTGTTTATGCTGATCATTTATTTGAGTAAGGAGAGGTCAGACATTTCAACTATGTAAGTAATCCTACTTTTATTTACTCATCATTTGCAAAGTAATTCTCTTATGTACTTGATGTGTATATTTAGAATAGAAATTTATCTAAGACTTCCAAATTCTTTAATACCTCAACATCATTTTGAAGAATTCTTTCTGCTTCATTATTTTATGGTTCTATTGAAGGTTGTTTGGGAAACAGTTTTTATTTAATTATTCATTCCAAAGCATGAGAAAAAGGTTTTCAAGTATCAAATATTATGTAACGAGGATGCTATTTTAATATAAGAAAGGATTGAATATTTGATTTATTAGGTGATTCTTAAGTTTTAGAGACTAATTAAAAGATAAATATTCTAAAACTTGTAATTAATGATCGAAAAGGATTAGAGTTACTCATAGTTCCAAAAGAATATATATCCCATCATTATTCTGAAGTAAATCTAATTAGATAAAACCTTTCTTTAAAAACATTAAAGTTCATATTAAATTAGTTTTTGATATATTTTATTTAATAATGATTTATGGAAAAAATGAAATAAGAGAAATTTTAAATATTGTATCAATTTATAAAATTGAGAGGATTTTGAAATAAGTATTTATATATTTATTTGATATATAAATAATTATTCTATCCTACTATAATAAATAGTAAAATAATTATATCGAATCTACCACTATTCCTTTCCAATACTTAATTACAGGAAAACTATCATAGCGTCATGAGTTCTTGTAGTCTTTACAATATTAAAAGTTCGAAAATAGCTCTTATACTTTGTTTAAATGTATTTCATAAATTTTCTTTAAAATTCTATTTTTAAATTTGAATTTTCAATATTGTAATAATGATTCAAAAAGTTAGTCCTTAAGAAATATTTTTGTTACTTTTTCTGAAAAAACTCTGCAATTTGAAATACACTGGGTAAATTTTAATAGTAATATATTACTTTATTAATAAAAATTATTGATATTTTTATAGAGTTTATTTAAAAGACATTTAAGGTAAGAATATAAATGAATTAAATTTTCTAGGTTAAAACT